AAAAAAAAAAAAAAAAAAATGTATTACGGTGATAACGATAAACTGTCCAAGTCTCCAACACATTCTAGTAAGAAAATAAACAAGATAAGTATAGGGATCTTTACACTAATAGCCGGATATTCCATTGTTTATTTTTTCTAGACATATACATTGATTATACACAATCATACACATATACTGCATATATTATACCTCCACCGACTATTTTTAGTTTAAGTAGTTGGGTGGGCGGCCATTTGGGTTAATTCTTCATAAGTATAACCAATACCCACCTTTGTCTTGCACTTAACCTTTGGGGCTTCATGAGGATACATTGGAGAAATACTGAAAGAGAAGGTAAATGTGCCACCCCTGTAGACAGGCAACAAAGAACAAATAATCAATAACATCACCACATAAAGCTAATTAAATTCACCAACGTGCCCTGTTAATAAGAAAGCAGAAAGGCGTGAAGAAAGTTGAACTAGCAAGACAGTAATTACTTCTTAAAAGTAAGAAACTTGAAGAACGAATGGTCTACAAATAGTTGCACATCTTTTTGATAGGTAAGTTTGTAACAAAATTACTTACATATAATATCCTTCATCAGGCCGAATGGTGACTTCAAAGTTCATGAGGTCGTCTTTTCCATTGGGAAATGATATGCTACATGTTTTGGGTAGATTTAGCTCACTTATATCTACAAGATAAAAAGGGTTACTCATCATAATCTGAGATGAACGATAGAAGATAGCAGAAAGTACGAGCTAGAGAAAATAAATGCATAGAAGAAGTTAGGACAAAGAGATACATCATACAAGTAGTTAAAAAATTCCTTTCAGACAGCTGCTAGCAAGTGAGATTTTTCAAGAAATTCTCCAATTCCTAAGAGGATTCATTCAGAGAAACGAAATAGAAGCAAATAAATTATCGTGCTATAGTCTCACATCAAGCAACAAAATCTCTCTCTTTGTCTCTCCCCCACCCCTCTATGCTTGAGTGCACGTGTAATAGTTGTAGCACACAGAAGACAGCAGTATGATTGAGCACTCGGATATACAAAAGGTTGAAAATCATCACCTGTCTCCAAGGCTGCACCAGGAGAAACAAAGCAGTAGAAGAATGACAAAAAATGGCTTTAACAGTTTAACCTCTGCAGTAATATATGGGAAATTTCTAGATAACCATGATCGAAAGGGATCCTTGGTGTAACCGGTAAAGTTGCTGCAATATGACCAGGAGGTTACGGGTTCAAACCATGGAAACAACCTCTTGCAGAAATGCAGGGTAAGGTTGCATACAATAGACCCTTGTAGTCCGGCCCTTCTCCCGACCCCGCGCATAGCGGGAGCTTAGTGCACCGGGCTGCCCTTTTTTTTAATCTGGATAACCATGATCAATGTACGTGATATTAAGACGGCATCTTAAAATTTTGCAGTGTGTTTAGCTGCTAAAGAGTGAGAAGAGAGAAGAAACTATGCCTATTCACTTGACAATTTCTAAAAGAAAACTTTGAGGTGGGCAACACGATATCTTTGTAGACTTAATTCAACTTCTCAAAGATTTTATACCTACTTCAGATTTTCAAAATTTTATATTTATTTCAAATCAAAATATGGAAAAACAGGGAAAGCAATTTTTTTGCAAAAAACGAGGGATCAGCTTATGTGGAAGGTGTTACTTGTGCAAGGTAAATGGCGAGACAGTGATTTAACTTCTATTACATTGCAAATTTGTATGGTGAATTTGGTGTGTTTCTTAACTTGTATGGGATTCAATGGGCGATGCCAGCACATGTGAAACAAATGCTAAGCAGCTGGCAAAGTCAGAGGACGAATAAAGTGAGGAAGAAGAATTGGAGGTCCTTTCCTTTATGTATAGTCTGGAATGTTTGGTTCAAAGGGAACAGAAGATGTTCTGAGGAGAAGGAAGAGAACATTGTGTAGCTGAAGAATAGAAGCATTCTAAGTTTAGAAATTTGCTGATTTTTCTAATAATGATCTTGATGTAATGCTGGAGTTTCTGGAGTCCTCCTATCTAGCTCTGTTGTACTTTGTCTCTGTACCAGCTTGGTACTGAAATTATGTCAATAATACCTTTACTTATCAAAAAAAAAAAAAGGAAGAAAAAATGGCGAAGGCACAGGCACATCCACCCCCATCTTTATTACTGTCCAGTTCTTCTATTTGTACCAATCCTCCTCGACCTCCAACCTTTTGCCTGTTTGATCAGGGAGGTACCTCATGAATGTGGTAAGAGGGTGTGACACAGTGGATTTGATTCTAAAAGTTTGGCAAGTAATAGGATGGGCCTGTAATATTGTTGCCATTTTACACGGTCTTGAATTAAGATGGAGAAGAACAGCATGAGGCATAGTGGGAAGAGGATCAATGGAGAAAACACGAGGACGACAGATCCAATCCCACTTGAACAAAAAATCAAGCAAAATCAACTGAAGACGTAAGAACTCAGCGTTGTTTCCATGAAGGCATGAACTGATAGCCACTTACACTCCCTCCCTGCCTGAGAGATTTTTCAAGTACTTCAAACACATAGCTCTTCATTGTGCATATACTTCCCGCAGTTCTTGAGACAGTTATATGGGAGAAAAACGATTTAGTTTCCAAGAAAATATACATCACAAACATAAACCTTTTCAACAAGTCTTAACACTTAAGAACCTAAATCTTACTTTCTCCTTATTGGGTGCCAAAACCTTAGAATTAATTCGATCCTACCTGGATTTTTACTCTAAAACCATCACTTGGAACAAAGCAGACCCATAAAGTTTCTATTACATGGCCTGGAGGAATAATGCCATAAGAATGCGGAGATCCAAGATCGCTCATAGGTACACAGGGTTTTGGAGCTCCTCCAACAAAAAAACAATGTACTACATTTGGCAACAAGAGGAATCGGAAAGAAGAAAGGAAACTGCTTGATTTTTATTTTATTGCCATCAGTCCAGTTATGACTTGATGTGCAAGTGAAAGTCATACTCAAAATCTTGGAGATATATTACTTCCTCCATTCAGTCCAACTTCAGGTTGGTAAAAAGAGTTGATGTGGTCTCAACCAACCGAAAAGGAAAATGTAATCTAAGCCTTTTTTTTAAAGTAAATGTACACTAACCCGTGTCATGTAATTTACCCTCTTTCTTGCCTTCCACTTTTCAGTCCAACCAAGACAATCTAAGACTACTTCAGCGTATCTAGTTATCAAGTTGTCATGCAAGAAGCACTTAGTAAAATTATCTCACAAGATGCAAAATGGTTAAATCACTAGTTAACCTGTTCAAAACTCAGGATATCTCACCAATAGAGGGCTATATAACAAATCAGATCTAAGATGACCAATTTGTCGTACAGAAAGCACTCACTAGAAACAACTTGCAAGATGCTAAATGGCTAAAGCACTAGTACACTTAAAAGATGATGGAATTAGAAAAAGAAACCACCTTTGTGAAGACGCAACTCTCCTGCACTTTGCTTCTTGACTGGTGGCTTTCCATTTGCATTCTCAGCTTGTTCTCTCTGCTTTTCTTTTACTTTAAACAACTTAATCATGATCCCTGCAAGAGAAAAACATATAACATAACCGGAGCATGAAAGACCATTCAAAGTGCATGAAACTATTTTCCCTTTTTTTTTCCTTTTCTAACAACAATAACAACTTACAAACACATAAAATTTGCTGCAGTTATATCAATGAAGACTGGAATATCATTTCTTTCCGTAACTTATAAAGATTTCAGGCGCACCTTCTAGATTGTGAAAATGGGTCTTCTGAGCAATATTTACCTTGAAGCAAAAGAATAAAGAATGGTTCATTTTTTGTATTCTTAACTCACAAGGTCACCTATTTATCCCCTGGTAATTGGTAAAATCATTAATCATACTACTCCTATTCAGTAAGAATTATCCTATTGATTTTAGCGCAGGTAGGCTTGACAGAAAGACCTGTAACCAACTCTGGTCTATGAAAAAATGTCACATATACAAACAACTAGGCCTCAACCCCAAGCAAGTCGGGGTCGGCTATACGAATCCTTACTGACCACGTTGTCCCATTAAAGCTCATCTTACCAATATCATACAAAATAAAAAAATGTCAAAAATCAAAAGAAAAATTAAGTTATATCGAACATCTTCATATTTGGGTGCACATAAAGCATAATTTTTTAACAAATAGTAAAACAACAGTTGACCCATAAGAAAACTAACCAACATCTAAAGATTTTAAAACCTAGCAGAACAAACTATGACCCAAGTCAAAGACTCAAACTTTAACCTAATCAATAAGCAAATAGTCTTCGGAAAGTAAAATTGAAACAAACCCATAAAAGAATAACTATAATACAAGAAGAACAAACAGGAAAAACAATCAGCTCAGATAAAAAACACAAGCAAGAAGCAGAATTCATTGATTAAAAAAAAACTTGAAAACTCAGTTGAAATAATCAGCAAAATAAAGGGTTTCAAAAGATAAAAGCAACTGACAGTAAAACTGATCGATTACGCGATCTGGGAAACAATCAAAACCTCAGACAATCACTGAATCTACAAAAGGGTGTACAACTATAAGTACATAAAAATAAAGATTATGTAAAAAAAAAAAAAAAATGAAACCTGCTTAGGTGAGAAGGCACAAAGAAGCTGAAGAAAGAAGAGGATTTTTGTGATCTCAGGTTAGCGTGAGAGCCAGCAAATGGGTTCTGTTCTTCTCTCTTATCGAATTGATGAGAGAGAATCTGAAGAAAGAAATACCTCTGGACGCTAGTCCACCTTTTTATATTTCACTCTTTTTTTTTTTTTTTTTTTTTTTTTTTTTTTTTTTTTTTTTTTTTTTATATTTCACTCTTGAACCACAATATAATTACCTCTTCTTCAATAATCAATGCATTTAACTTTTTCCATTTTATTTTTGCTTTGAAAAAAGGGATATATTACCTTTTTCATAAATTTATATTTAAAATAATTTATTTCCTCTTTCTCAATTTATGTGACAATATTAGTATTTTGAGAGTCAAATGAATTATTCTTTGACCGTAATTTTTTATACGTCTTCTTAAGTATTTTAAATTATTAATTATTATAATTTATAATATTTTTATTTAATTTTTTAAATATATAAATTTTATTTCGAAAAACTTAAAAAATTTATGTCCAAATACTTGATTAAAATTAAAAATTTTAAATCAAAAACGAAAATATCACATAAATTGAGAGTACTGAACGACAAAAGTTCAAATTTACTCTTGTACAAAATTACCCAATTTTGACCTATGTTGCACTTTTAATTCATTTATACCATTACCTTGCCATTAACAGAGTTTCAATATTAGATAAGTGTACTCCATATGTCCAATTTTTTTGATAAAACGTTATAAATTTACCCCTTAACTTTTGATTGTGTTTTAAAATTACTTTCAAGTTAGAGCTTTTTAGGTGTCCAGGGCAAAAATTAACCTTTTTTCCTAATTGCAGGATAATATTAGACCTAAAATTTTAACAAATGATGAAGTTAATCAATTTCAGACAGTATAATAGTATAAATAAGGAGTGAATTGAGAGAGGACAAATATAAAGTTTTAGTGCGACAGTATAACAATAACAACAAACTCAGTGTAATTCTACAAGTAAGATCTGGGGATGGTAGTATTTACGCAAACCTGACTCCTACCTTCAAGAAGGCAAAGAGGTTGTTTTCGGTAGACCATCGGCTTAGGAAAAGGTAAAAAGGAAGGGCAACAACAAGCACACCAATTAGAAAGCCAAAGCGAAAATACAAAACTAACATTAGGTACTACAATCAAAAAAACCAAAACGGAAACAACAACAAGTAATAACAGAAGTCAAGGAATACGGGAATATACAAATGGCACTAAGTCATGTACTAATGAATAAAAGATCAAGTTTCACTTCGACAAGTACAATTTTTTTAGGGAACTTTGCATAACTGTCACGATTTAAAAGAAATATAATATTTTTTTAAGCATGAAACCCAATATTACAGTCGTGGCAGGAAAATATTTATATCTGTAGCACGCAGCTCCATTAAAATAGGAATATTAATTATTAATCCGTAAACATAAGCAATTTGAATGGAAAGTCAATAATTCTTTATACAAAAATCATGCCTTTTTCTCTTTATGTATTAGCTTTTCTTCTTTTTCTTCATCTTCTTAATTTTGTTTTATGCCGAATCCAATATATTTTCTAAATTTGTTCCATTCGTTTTCTTTTTAATTATCTTTCTTAAGTTTTTCTCTTCCTTCTTTCTTCCTTTCTTAACATAAAGATCTTACTTCGATAATAATATATGTTAATATATACAAAATATATATATATATATATAAAATATATGTTGAATTAACACATATAAAATATACATAAAATATATTTTCAATTAAGATGACACTTAGACATGTGAAATATACATAAAAATATATATCTTACATTTAATTAAGATGGCATATAAATATACAAAAAAATATACATAAAAAATATATCCTGAATTAAAATGGCACTTGACATATAAAATATATTTGAAATATATATTAAAAATACATCTTAAAATAAGATGGCACTTCACAAATAAATATACAAAAATTATATACATAAAAATACATTTTGAATTAAAGTGATACTTGTTATACAAAGTATAAAAGACATATAAATCAATACATCTTGAATTTAGGTGGCATTTACATATGCATCAGATTTTCAAAAATGGAGTGAAAAAAATAAATGTTGGAAAGGGAGAATGGAGATAGACAAAAAAAATACTTCATGTGATTAGTGAGTCAGTTAACTTATTAAATGTTGAGCTTGATTTTTATAATACGCTAATAATGAAAAAAAGTACTCTTTATGAAATGAATAATAAATGATGTTATTTTTTAAAATAATTGTTAAAAAATAATCAAACGTTTATTTAAGAGAGAATTCGATTCTAATGGATCGGTTAGATGTAATAAGAAGTACGGCGAGTATTCCTTGGTGTAACTAGAGGATGGCACGTGTAATTTCTAATTTTTAAATATTAAATAACGGCTGGGTAACTTGAATATATCAAGTGAAACGGAGGATATATGTAGTTTATTTCCGACAGTAGAGGAGTAAATTTAACCCTTTTCGGTTTCCCTAATTTGTTTTTATCTTTTGTTTTGTTGCTAATTTTCAAGGTTTGTTTCAGAGGGTCAGTTATGTATTAATCGAATCTCATTGCATCAACAAAAACAACACAACATAGGCAGGTCGCATTGGTTTCCCCACTGTATACATACACTGCATCAAACAGTATGTGAATTGCAAATTTGCAATTAACTCCCTAAATTCTGGAGGTTAGCACATCTTACCCCTTAAGAATTTAGTTGATATATATACAAATTCTTTGGGGGAAAATGGAGTAATAAAAGGAGAATGGTAGTTGAGTTTCAAGCTAAATATGAATTATTCTTATAATATAATTATTGAGTCAATTGCATGTTTATAATAATTCAAATGGCTCAATCATTAACCAATAGGAAAGGAAAATGACATTGTATAGCCGCTCTCAAAATAATAGCCGAAAAATATATTTTTTTTATATACATATACATTTTGCATGTTAAATATAAAAATTATATATTTTTTTGGCTACCGAATATAAATAGCTTCTCGTAGGGTTAAAACTGATAATACCAAAAATAAGAAGGTAAATATGTAGAAAATCTATAACTTAATCTAGAGCCATGACGTCAAAGAAAGACTCAAAGCAAGTATATAAGTTATTTACTTCACTATATCCATTTTCTATAGGTTGTATGTGATCTCCAGTTTGAATGTGTCATCGCAAATGACAATATTTCTTGACGTGAGTACTACTTTTAGTAAAAGTCTAACTTTATAACCTAAGCTCCAATTATCGATTGGAACCAAAACGAGAAGAATACAGTGGTGGACTGTTCGATTACACCAAATCATATTAATTGTCATGATTAAGTCATAAACTAAGGATTAGTACAACACCGGTGTGGTGTGAGTACGTGAATAAGTATCTCATTCTCAAGGACCCTTTTTCATTTTCTTTATAACTTATATACGTTGTTCTCATGAAGGAAAATGATAAAATATGCAAAATCATATACTGGTTGGGTTCTACCATTTTTGTCAATATTGTGTGCACTATTTTCTTTTTATATATCTTTTCATTCTTCTATAGTTCAAAGAATAACGCAAATTTACAAAGGGAAAAGAATGGACAACCAGAGACTTTTAAAAGGTTTAACCCAAAAGCAATATAGAGTTTCGGCTGAATTCTTTTATCAATTTTGGATAAAATTGGTTACTTGAGAAGAAAAAAAAAAAGGAGAACTATTCAAACTATCACTTCATAAACAATTTCAACCAAAACTAGCCCAAAAATAAATTATTTACCAGAAAGGACACAAATGTCATTTAATTCAAACAATTTTCAATTAATGTAAGCTTTTAAAGCATACAATAAGCTAAAGTGACTTTCAGAGCATCATAATTCGATTTACAAATCACTATTAAATATTAGTTTGTTGATTGGGGCGAAAGATTAAACTGAAAATGCCATGGGCATCCATTGAAGCTTGTTTAAGCTTGAATTCAAAATTTTGAATTTCGAAATCAGAATTTATTTCGAGTGGGTATTGTTGAAATATATTGGGTACATCTTAATGAGTGTGAAACTCTATTTTTGGATGATTTGATGGAGATTTTAGGTGGTTCGAATTGAAATTTGAACGAAATTTGAAGTACACAAGAAGAACATGGAAGAAGATGATATGTGTATCTCACTGCGTATCTCCGTGTATCTTTTGTGTATCACTTATGTATCATATATGTATCTTTTATGTATCATATATGTATCTCTTGTGTATCTCATGTATATCCATGTATATATGTATGTGAGGTACATGTTTGATTCATATGCCGTAGATAAATTTGTAAACTCGATTTCAACTACGAATTTTGACTCAAAACTAGTCCAAATTACCTCCAATCTTCCTCAAATTTTGTATATTGACGCATCTATACGTTTTCAATGAATTATAACCATTGAAAAAGGTCTCCTTTTGCTTAGAATTTTAGGATCTTGAATAATGTTTTTGTTTGTGTTTCATCTTTGCTATCTCATCCATGAAATTTTCTTTCCGTCTTGCGTCTAATGTTGATGATCACGCTTAAAAATATGGAAGGAGATCTTTGCGTGTGATTCTTGAAAAAAAATAATACTTATTTATCTAGATTTTTTAATTTTTATATACGCTTGATTAGTTTTGATTATGTGATTAATGGCTAAGGTTTTGCAAAACTAAATTGCGTTTCATGAGGCCCAGTAGTTGGGTGTGTAATGGACTAGCTATGACTTATGAACTGACCCGAGAGGGATGGCCTGCTTAGATCAGACCTAATGTCTCTCAAGACATGAGATTCCAATTTTCAAATGTCTCAACTCTCAACTAATAAATTCCAATGTTCGTCTTTGGCAAATCTGTAAAATCAGCTTATTTTGAGAAGTGTTTTGCAAAAAAATATTTTTGGAGAAAAACAGTTTGTGTTTGGCTAATCAATTTAAAAAGCACTTTTGAACAATAATTTGTGTTTGGCCAAACTTTTCAAAAAGTATTTTTAAGTGTCAAATTTTAAATAAGTACATGAAGATATTTGCTTAATAGTTAATATTATATAAGTAGATAATTGATCACAAATATTTATTATTAAATATAATAATTAAGTTTTTTTATTTAATTTAAGTACA